CCCCCCCAGAGCTCATAGCTCTCAGACTTCTGCATCATCAGCCTGAATGTCACTATGGGTTGCTCCCAGAACTCACCCTTTTACCTCAAGCCTTTGGCCTTGCTGGTGAGTTTTACTGCTTGCAGATTTATGGTGACAGTTCCTGGAGTCCTAGGCTGTTATTGCTGAACAACACTACAGGTCCTGGGAGTGTAGCAGGGCCGGCATCCCCTGAACAGACATCATAGCATAGCATGGCAATGCTGTTATTTGACCCAGTACTTGGCTCCCCAGGGTGCTAGACAGCACAGGGTATTGTGGAATAGGCAGTACCCAGCACCGACTGCTCTGCAAGAATAGACAGTCCGACAAATTCTTCCAGTGCCCAGTCAGCAGTGGGATCCTGCCCTCTTCCTTGATTGCAGCCAATGTGTTCAGGGTTGGGGGCTCCTCTCATCACCCCGATCGTTAAATTGACCTCTTCTCTTTTCTGCTCCTCCCCTCCTACCTACCTGGCCCCTCACAGCTGCACAGACATCCCTGCTGACTCTGGACCCACCATGGAGCATGATATTTCCAGGAGAGACTGTGACACTGACATGCCAGGGATCCCATCTGCTGGGACAGGGCCCAACAGCCTGGTATCACAATGACAAGTTCTTTGCACATACGGACACATACACCTACAGGATCACAAACGCAAAGCAAAAGCAAACAGGAAAATACCAGTGTCAGAGCCCTGGCTCCATGCACAGTAACTCTGTTACCCTGACCATCTCCTCTGGTGAGTGCAGTATTCCAGGGACGAGTCCTTCACTCGGCCTGCCTTGGGACCCATGGGCTTCAGTGTGGAAGCTGCTTGTTCTGTCCTGGGACAAATGTAGCTCCTGCAGGGATAATGGGAGCAATGTTCTTGGTTCTGGTGCTTTGCAAGCTAGGCTTTGGAGGCCGTTTGTCCTGCCTTCTCTCCCCTTCCCTCATACCCTGCCCTGATGAGCACAGCCTGTACCCCTTATGTCACACAAAGCACTGCAAAGCTTATCCCTCTTTCAAAGGCCCCTTTCAGCTGCTGCTCTCGACATCTCTTTCAGACTGGCTAATTCTCCAGGTGCCTTCATACATGGTGTTTGAGGGGGACCCACTGCACATGCGGTGCCGGGGGTGGAATAATTGGAGTGTGTCCATGGTGAAATATTACAAAGATGGAGCAGACATCACACCACAATATGCATCAGCAGAGCTGTCTATTCCCCGAGCACAGACAAACCACAGTGGAAGATATCACTGCATAGGATGGATAAATTCCATTTCATCGCTAATTAAAAGGGAGTCTCAAGTCTTACATGTTTCAGTTCAAGGTAAGAAATTCCTGCGAGTCTCCAGGTTGGGCAGGGCTGGGACACCCACTGCCCTTAAGTCAGGATGGGCCTAGCTTTCTGGGAGGGTTTTTCTTTCCATGGGTGTAGTGCAGCTAATAAAGGCCCTATTTTGAACAAAATCAACAGTCAAATCAGTTCAATGCTCACAGGGTATCACTGAGTGCAGCCAGATTGACTTCATTGGGTTCACTCCCAGGGCGTGGGGAGAAGAGTTCAGCTTTCTATTGCTGCATGTAGTAGCAGGTTTATATCCCCAGAGCAGGAACTAGCCAAAGCCAGCAGGTGCCAACACATTTTCATGGTCTATCCTAATAATGGACAATCAGAGAATTATTCCCTCAGCCTTCCATCTTACTCAGGGTATCATGTGGTGAAAATCATAGGACAGAGGCACTGAGGGAATTTATGTAATCACTGAGCTCGGACAGTGCTATGAATGACAGTGGAGGAATATACCCAAACTCAGAACGCACCCACCCACAGCAAAAAGACCTGCCCAGTTAGACCCACCTCTCTCTGACTCTAGGACACTTTCTACACCCATCCCAGAGTCTTAGCCCTACATACCCTTTCCCAGGGAGGAAGAATGATTGTCGGGTTCCTCCTGCACCCTGAGAGGTGATGCAACCCCAGAAGGTCCCTTCAAAGAGACCTGACACCTTCCCACCTTCCAGGGGGGTTTAATGTATCTTCTACTTCAAAAAGAAGAGAAAGAAAAAAGAAAAAATTTCCTTTCCAGAGCTATTTTCCTCCCCGGTTCTGAGCCTGGACAACTCAACTGAACCTCTTGAAGGAAGCCCACTCGTCATGAGCTGTGTCACACATCTCAGCCCCCACAAATCCCACACCCACCTTCAGTATCTTTTCTACAGAAATGGCACAGTCCTTCAAGGCCCCAAGAGCTTCTTGAAGTACTGGGTGCCAGCAGTGCAGCTGGCTGAGTCTGGGTCCTACTCCTGCGAGGTGCGGACGGAGACCTCCAGCGTACAGAAATGGAGCCCCCAAATACCCATCACTGTAAAGCGTAAGTCTGCATGATAGGGACTGGGGACAGATGCTGGAGATTGTTGAGAATGCTTGGAGGGAATGGTAGCTCCTGGGATCTGGACACAACTTCTGCTGGACTGGAGCCCCCAAGGGCGTAGTTGCCATTTATATGGCCCAGGGACACTTGCAGGTGGGGAGCATGGCCTGGAAAATACGGACTCCAGATGGATTCACCAGAGTCTCAAAGATGCAGAGCGATTGTGCTCTCCTCACCAGCACTACTGCTGGAAGAAATAATGTTGTAACAGTGCAGCAGAAATGCATCAAAGTTCACTGACAGATGTTGTAGGAGGGCATGGTCATTTTACCTTACAAGAAAAAAAAACAAACCTTATTCACACAAACACCTGCCCAGTGGTCCTTCTGATGGAACAAAGGAAAATGGATGCCAGGTCATATCTCCTAACATCTCCTGTTTTTTTTTTTTTTTTGTGTTATGCTTTATTTTTTTTCTTTTAGTGACTAAATGCCTTTTTTGAATGTGCCTTTTGTTCTTTCTGGGAGCTGAGAGTGATTAACATATTTTGTCTGTGTGTCCCATCCCATACCTGTGGGCCTTTCTTACCTTATAGTGTCTTAAAGGCTCTGTTCCTGTCATTTACCTTCTAATCATCATCTATCTTTAGCATAAAACTGCCTTTCAATGCGGAGGTAGACTGTCCTTTTTTAGACTGAGCAAAGTCCCTTGTTCCTTGGGTTGGGCTGGCATCTGTTTTCCCCAAGTGTCCTGGGAAGATCCATTGAAAGGGGCTGGGATTTTTCTGCCCTGCTGATTTCAGTGCCATCAACACCTGCCATTCTGACAGCTCCTTTACCACTGTTTCTTCCTTCTTGTGCCAAACACCCAACATCATTCACCATTTGGACAAATCAATGTTTCCCTGGGAATGTCTACTTTAGAATCATACATCACAGAATTATTGAGGTTAGAAGGGACTCTGGAGGAAATCTGGTCCAACACCAGATCTGGTCCAACACCTCACCCCTGCTGAGGCAGGGTCAGGAGGTTTTCCTGGACTATATCCAGACAGGTTTTAAATATCTCCAAGGATGGAATCTGCACAACCTCTCTGGATAACCTTCACAGTGAAGAAGTGTTTTCTTACGTTGGAGTGGAATTTTCTGTGTTTCCACTTGTGCCCTTGTCTCTTGTCCTGTCACTGGGCATCACTGAAAAGAGTCTATTTTTGTCCTCTTTACACTCTCCCTTCAGATTTTTATAAGCATTGATAAGATTCCCCTCTAAGCCATTTCCTCTCCAGGTTAAACAGGCACAGTTCTTTCTGCCTTTCACTCTATCAGATTTTTCATGTTCAGAGGGAGCTTCCTGTGTTTCAGTTTGTGCCCATTGCCTCTTGTTCTATCACTGGGCACCAGTGAGAAGAGTCTGGCCCCATCCCCTTGACACCATCCCTTCAGATACTTATACACATTGATCAGATCTCCCCCTGAGCCTTGTCTTCTCCAGGCTGAAGAGTCCCAACTCTCTCAGCCTTTTCTCATAAGACAGATGCTCCAGTCCCTTCACCATCTTAGTAGCCCTTTGCTGGGCTCACTCCAGGAGCTCATGTCTCTCTTGTAGTGGGGAGCCCAGAACTGGAAACAGAACTCCAGATGTGGCCTCACCAGGGCTGAGGAGAGGGGCAGAATTACCTCTCTTGACCTGCTGGCAATGCTTTTCCTAATGCAATGCAGGATACCATTGGCCTTCTTGGCCACAAGGGCACGTTGCTGGCTCATGGTCAACTTGTTGTCCACCAGGAAAACTTGTTTGCCTGAGTTTCCTGCTCACAAAGTATCAGTGACTGGGACAGTGCAGGAACTGAATTCCAAGTGTGGAAGAGCAGCA